GGGGAACTGCTCCAGCTCCTTCTTGCCTGGCCTTGGTTCCTGAGGCATGGGACAGCCCCTCCACTGTCTGTACCACACCCTTCTCCCGGAGGAAGAACCACGCCTGGCCAGCCTCTGGAGGTCGACTGCTCATTGCCTCCTGGTGCTCACTTCTTTGAGGACTCCCTCAACCCTGGACCAGAAATGCATGCACCAGGTAAACACTCATCAGTAAGAGGGCCAGCTCTGGTCAGGACTCTGTCCTGGCCACAAATAGACATTACTCTATCTAGCCCCTGCCCATACTTCCCTCAGGGAACCTTTAATGGACTCCAGCCCCAGACAGAGGTCATCCTGTATGAACTCCCCACTCTCTCCATTCCAAGTTAAGGTTCCTCTTGCCTATCTTCTCTATCTTCAGAGTTGGGAGCGGGAAGTCATGTGCACACCTGGGCAATGTAGTTGGTGTGTTCACCTAGGAAGGCTCCAGGCCCAGCAGGCAGGTGCACTGGGCTGTGTCTGAGCAACTCCATCTCTGTACCACCAGTGGAGGGGCTCACAGGCATGGCTGACGTCCAGTGTTAGTGCTCTACCGCTTGAGCCACAGCACCACTTCTGGTTTTCTGGTGGTTAATTGGAGATAAGAGTCTCATAGACTCTCCTGCCTAGGGTGGCTTTGAACCATGATCCTCAGATCTCAGCCTCCTGAGTAGCTAGGATAAAAGGCATGAGCTTCATGAAATGATTTTAAAAATTCACCTTCAATTAAGATATAATTCTGAAGTGTAGTCTTTTAATTGTCCTTTAAATGGTATGCACTTTCTTTTTCGTGATGAAAACAGAAAGGGTTTGGAAAGGAATTGAGTACATTTCCCCAGTGGTCTGGCTGCTTGTGTGTGGTATCTTTTGTTCAAGAGCTCTTGGTCTTGGTTTATCATCTCCACAGCCCACCTTCATTTCTCCTGTAGATAATAGGTTCTCTTCAGGAATTTATAACTCTGGAATATTAAGACCCTTCTTCCCACTTTAAAAATCTTCTCCGAACCATAAAGAGAAAGGATTTAGCAAGGGATCCTTCATCTATCGCAGGAGTTACATTCCAGAGACCCCCCTGTGACAGGTGAAAATCCACGAAGCAGCAGCATTATATTTATGTTATTATTTAATATATATTTTAAGACTTTATAAACCCTTCCCACTCCCCTATAAACCTTTCCCACTCTCTTATTAACCTTTCCCACACTGATAAAAACTTCATATGCTCTTAAATGCATCTATACTGTTAAACCTACGTAATTTTAACAACATATAAAAGTCTATATGGGAACTCACCAGTGAAGTATACTACAACTTGAATGGTGAAGATCATGAATCATGTAGCTGTGCAATGCTGATGACAATGAAGGTAATGACAATGAGATGAATGTACTGCACAGCCAAGAGTAATATTATGGCACTTCTTCAGCCTTCCATGAGATGGTGCAGTATCATTGCCCTGGGAAGTAACTTCGGTTTCCACTGAAGGTGTAGGCATAATTGATCTCATCATTTGAGAGATGAATGTGGTTCTGGGGAGTTACCAGCACTGCTTTTTCTTTTGTTTTTGTTTAAATAAATCGGCATACCAGTCTCGATTGTATTTACGAAATGCTAGGAACAAAGCATCCTTCAGCCACTCTGAAGTTTTCTGACCATGCTGACCACGCCTGCAAGATGATTGAGTGTTAGGTCAACCTCCTCCTCTTCTCCAACTTGTACTTCATTTCCTTCCTTCTCATCTTCTTCACTTGCTAAATTCATCTCATCCAGGTTAAAAACTTGAGGCTTATAACCCCCTTCCTCGATGATGGATTTGCTCATGTCATTCCTCAGCTCAGTCTTTATCTGCAGAGGCAGCTTCTCCATGCAGAGAAATGCTCTTGGGTCCAAAGCGTCTTTGAAATTTGTTGAACCAGGCCTTGCTGGCCAGAATGGGGTTGGTCTGATGGGAGAGGTCCTTTACGGTCCTGCTTCTGCATTGTCGTCATCACCATCATGAACATATGTGCTTCCCACAGAACTATCAGGTAGTTTCTTGACCCTTGTCCTGATGGTGTTGGTATCCAGTGAGATATTCTTCTTCCTGAAGTTGTTTATACACAGGGACAGCACAGACTCTATCCTCGCCATGGCCTAATTGCAGGAAGTGACTCCCCTCTTGGCAGCCTTGTTAAAAGTCATCACTGCTGTAGACCTAATATTCTTCCTATCTTTCTTTGTGTAGTGAACAGTAGATTCATTGATCCCATAATGGTGGCCTACAGACACAGAGCTTTTGCCTTCCGTTAACATGTTGAGAATTCCACCATTTCTTTGATGGTAAGCATCTTCCTCTGGTTCTTGGGTTTACTTGGTTCTGCACCTTCAAAGGTGCAGAATATTTGGGTGGGGATTGAAATAAATGCAAACTTTTATGAAAATTTTACAAAAACACAACACCACAGAGCAACACCATGGACAGTGGTCAGACGTCGATGTGAAGTGGACAAGAAGAGATGCTGAACATAAGATCACAGTGCGGGAGAGCAAACAGACTAATGCTACAGTCACTGAGGCAACCCACACCCAGGATACAGAGCAGAGTGCCGATGAAATACATACTGTATTTTATCTTGATTTAATATTCTTTTAATATGTTTGCATTAACATCTTTATATTTGCTATATTGTTTTAAACATTTTAGGCAACAATAATTAAATGCATCAATATTGTATAAATAACTGTAAACTGCAAAATCCGCGCTATAGCAAAAGCTCAGTGATACAGAATTCATTTGTTTTTAAACCTGTGATATAGTGAAGCTGCAGTAAGTGAATGGTGGTATCGTGACAGATGACTGCACACGGTACTTCGGGGGAGATTAGGGAAATTTTTGCATAGAAATTTAAGAATTTCCTTCGGGTTGAGTCATGGACAAGTGTTTAATGTTTGTGTCAGTTTCGATGACTATAAGTTACTGGGAATAAACAAGAGAATAAATAATCTGATGTTTCTTTTCCCTCCAGAGAGAGTAGGAAGAACTATAATGGTACCACGGTTCATACTGATGTCACTTTTCACAAGAAAGCAGTAGAGAATTAAGAAAGTCATTCCATTTTGTGTCTGAATTTGAACCTACTGGGGTTTAGGAAAGATGGGAGAAAAGATGTTTTGCACATAAGAAGAAGTCAGTGGTGATTCTTAAACTGGGTATAAAAATGAGCATTTCCAAGCCGGGTGCGGATGTCTCACACCTGTAATCCTAGCTACTCAGGAGGCTGAGATCTGAGGATCCTGGTTCAAAGCCAGCCTGGGCAGGAAAGTCTGTGAAACTCTTATCTCCAATAAACCACCAGAAAACCAGAAGTGGTGCTGTGGCTCAAATGGTAGAGTGCTCGCCTTGAGCTGAAGAGCTGAGGGACAGCGCCCAGGCCCAGAGTTCAAGCATCACGACCAACCAAAAAAATAAAATTAAAGCAATTAGCATTTCCATTATACACCTGAAATCCAGTCCCTCCACAGAGAAAGTTTAGATACAACTTCTTTGCCCATCACCATATCATTTATATTTATACATACATACATGAACAGAAGGGTTACAGTTACACGAGTCAGGTAACGAGGACATTTCTCTTTGAACAATGCCACCCTTGCTCTCACTCTCTCACAGTTTTTCTCTCCCTACCCACAAGGTGTATAGTTCATAGTCAACATAGTCACCATATCATTTTTAATGTCCCAAATTTTATGTATCCCCCAAGAGAAAGCCTTTCTAACAAAAGAACATTCTGGATGACAGCTCAGACCAAAGTGTGAACACTGATAACTTTTCTCTCCATTTCTGTCCTTTAAAACTTATGGTAATTAGGTATCTGCATTGCAGATGCTTGCATTTTTTTCCAACACAATTCAGTATTGAATTTGCAAAGAAGGTATTACTATCGAATAGCTTAGTCCTGCTTGTTTTCTCCAGAGAAAATTCATATTCAACAACTAGTTTTCTGGACAAAGGATCCAAATGACTCAGAATCCCATTTGCCAATACTCAATTTGCCAATGACAATAAAAATCATTTGCCTAAAGAAAGAGATTTGTGTATGAAAGCAGAGTGGACACAGAGTGTCCTGTGCTCCAATACTCTGCTATGTAAAGTGTGGTCCATTATCTGTCTGCCAGCTCTAGTCTGTCCGGAATATACACAAAAGCCCCCCTCTACCATGTTCAGTTTCCTTTTCATTTCTTTAAACAGAAATGCTGGCATACATCTTACCACCAGGAATAGCTCAGAGCTCATGCTCTCAATTTAGTCTGGAGGAATACATTACATTTCTCTCCTCTTTGAAAACACTCTGTCAAATCTCTTTGCTCATCACCCAATAAGGATAAGGTGATTCAATCCAAATGAAGCATATGGTATTGTAGAACACATAGAAAGGATCTTTTTATAAAAATTCAGCAATACATCTTTGTATTAGAAACTATAAAATTACATTATTTACCTATAACAACATCCCTTTCCTCACAAAGAAAGGTTTTATATATAAAACACAACTCTGGTGTGTTAAGCTGAATGCCCGTTATAAAAAAAAGCATTCTCAAATAATAACTATAACTTAAAAGAACGGTAGCAAAATTTTACATGACTTCTGCATTGGAAAAATATCTACTACTTAAGAGTTTTAAAATATATTGACAACACAGCTGTCGACTTCTTAAAATGTTTCATCCTACATTACAATTCTATTTCTGAATCTTTTTCTCAGTCATTTGAAAAATAAACTTTTTTGTTTTTGCTTGTTAGAGAACTGATCAGATCAATTCATTAGTTGAAATGAGCAACATAAAAATAGGAACCCTGGCTCTTTGCTATTTTGTGTAAACCAGCCACGTATTTTCAAAAGATTTCTTTTGCCAACTCTCTGTCATCATTTTTGACATTTGTGGTGTTAGTATGGATACCCTTCGCTTCTTAGACAATGTCTCCAGCAGTACTGGGTACTTACAGAAGCACAGTCCTCAGACTTCTCTTCCACAAATCCAATCTGGCAGGGAGTCCTCTGGTTTTGCAACCAGTAGTCGGTGGATTCAAGCAAGCTGGCACTGCGCAGGACCTGGGGAAGCAGAAAACCAGACGAACATTCACTTGGCAAGTCTTTCTATTTAAACAAAGAAAACCTCTTCTAAAAGAATCCCAGATGTATCTTTTTAAATTTTCCTTAGAGTATCAGGATAGAAAGAGGAATGGCTAGCAGGATAAATAGTACTTTGACAAAGTGTGAACTACTCCCGAAATTGGCTTGAGATAGATGTTAACACTGCTAATTCTTTCCTTAGCAAATGTAACATCTGGAAAGTTCAATGTATGGCTGGCTTAAGTGATTTACAGTCACGTGATTGTTTTTTGGTGTGGCTACAAATGGGGGTACATTTCATTTGTGTTGCAATTCTTTCATAAGTTACTGATGCTTTGTATCTTTTAGGTGTCATCATGGTTTTCCTTCTGCTGCAAGAGTTTTCAACTCTTCTAGAATAGATAGGGAACAAGTTACAATTCATTTAACATTTCTAAGATATCACATTATTAAAAATATGAGGGCTAATTCAGTTGCATTAAAATAACCACTGTCTATTTGCTAACACTGTGACAAGACAAAACAAAAAGTCATATACATGAACTAATAAAGTCAAACATGATTTTAACATGTCTTGCTTTGGAGCTTGGATTTGAAAGCAATGATAAAAGGCACATTCCTCAATGCCAAAATATTTCAAAGACATAATCTCATCACTAAAGAATGATTCAACTTTCAATGTGTCTAAACACCATCCATATTGTATATGAAAATTTTCTCATCTTTATATCCTTAGATACCGAATAGCTTCCTTAAAACACATCTTGGCTTTAAAGAAACAGAAATGCTAGGTTCTGATGGCTCATGTTTGTAATCCTGGCTTCTTAAGAGGCTAAGATCTGATGATCACGGTTCCAAGCCAGACTGGGCATGAAAGTTTGTGAGACTATTTCCAATTAACTACCCAAAAGTCAGAAGTGGAGCTGTAGTTCAAGTAGTAGAGTGATATCCTTGAGCACAAAAGCTCAGCAACCGTGCCCAGGCCCTGAGCTCAAGACCCAAAGACTGATATACAAAAGAAAGAATAAAAGAAAATAAAAACAAAAACACAAATATACAAAAGTGGAATTTCAAACAAGTCTTAAATATTTTAAGAAGTATATTAGTAAGAGAGAGTTTTTGTATGGTTGAGGATATAAACACCAATTTTACTCACCATTAAATAGCTCATGATTATATAAATAACTAAAATGAAATAAAATAGTTTCCCATCAATTTTGTTGATATTTCAATTATTAATTACTTAATATTTATGCTACATAATGCTATGTTGGAAACCCTGAGTTCAGACACTAACATATTACCTGATTTAAACATCAAAAGTTGTGGTAGAATTTAATAGCTTATATAAGAAAAAGGCGTATACCAGATTCTAGCTTCTACTGAGTGCCCAACAAAGCTGAGCTGTGATTAGAAATTATTAATACCTTTATCCAGGTGCAGTAATTTGTCAGATGAGTGCAGAATTAGCATCTGAGAACAGTTTTCAGACCTAAGCGCTCCCAAACCATGACCGGTGCATTGCTTGCCAGGGGATTTTAGTTCCTCATTTCTGGATTCTGCCCAGTTCCCATCTATTCAGTCCTGCAGCCCATCCTGGTCTATGTGGTCTCAGTCCACTGTTCACTCTCTGTGTGATGAAGTTACCTCCTTGCTCCTGGCCACAGTTTGCCCTCCCTAAACCATCAGACCAAACTAGCTGAGCTGAGGGGTGCTTGTGCATCAAGCACCACGTAATTCTCCTCCTTCCTCCCCTTTCCTGCATCCTGCCTCTCCTTTTCCCATATATATTAAAAAGCCAAATAAGAAAAGAGAATGAAACCCGGCTTCAATAAACCACTTAGCCCCACAAGAAAAAAGTTGAACAATTATAACCTGTTGAAAGCTTTTGGTTTAATGGTCTGCACAAAGGGTTAGAAGAGAGGTACTTGAAGGGGAGAAAATATGTGCTTGAGAATGCAATGAATTTGGAAACTTTATGAATCTAATTTCCCTGCTGAGAGAGAAAAAGAGAGGAGCTCACCAGGTTCTCCACGGCTCATTAATTTATCTGCTATTTTTAGTTCCCAGGATTGCTTATTTCTGATGAAGAGCTAAGAACAAAAGTGCTGTGTAGTCATAAGTGTGAAATAATATTGGCACAATTACTTTTAAAATTTCTTGTTTTTTTTTTTTTGGGGGGGGTCCGGTCATGGGGCCTGAACTCTGGGCCTGGGCGCTGTCCCTCAGCTCTTCAGCTCAAGGCTAGTGCTCTACCACTTGAGCCACAGCGCCACTTCTGGCTTTTTTCTTTTTGCTTATGTGGTGCTGAGGAATCGAACCCAGGGCCTCATGCATGCAAGGCAAGCACTCTACCACTGAGCCACCTTCCCAGCCCCTACTTTTAAAATTTCATCAGTGTTCAGAATAAGGAAGAAGAGCTTCTTTTTTTCAAAGACTTTACTCTGATGGAGAGAATCAAGAGGCAGGAATTTAGTGTGTTACACAGTGAGACCAAAGGAGGATATTCTTAGGAGAGGATCACAAAGGCACAGTACCTATGAGCATCTGATCATATACAATAATATTTATTGAAATGAGCTCCAGAGAATGGCAACAAGAGGTTTTTTTTCCTGTGTTGCAGTTTTTGTTTTCTTTTCCTCTTTGTCTTGTTTGTACATCTATCTATTTGGGGGAGTTTGGTGGGGGCCTAGAAATGGTGGAACCAAGGGTGAACAGATATAGCAGTGCTACTCACTAGAGTAGGAAAAACTGAAGTGAAGGAAGGGGTGACATTGTTCAAAAAAATATACTCTTCATCTGACTTAGGTAACTATAATTCTTCTCTACATCACTTTTGTAATAACAATAAAAAATGCAGGAAAGGAAAAAAATAAATGTGTTTTTGAGATGGAGGAGGAAGCTAGAATGAGCATTTAGTAGATTGAACACAGTCCTAAGCAATGCTAGCATTTTTCAAGCAATTTAGATAGGATAAAACAGTAATTTATGATGAACCACAGATATTTGGGTTAGAGTTCAAGTTCTTTCCCTACCATCACCTACTGAGTGAATGTGGTCATCACACTTATCATTTACTGAAGTTATAGTAACTTAAATGATGACATTTAAAGACATTCCAGAAGGTTGTTTCAAGGAGGCAACAATGCTTGATAAGAAATGTACTCATTATCTTGCCCATGTAATTGTAACCCCTCTGTATCATATTTTCACAAGAAAAAAAAGAAAATATCTGTTAAAGCCTAATTTCTTACAAGAGAATGTAATTTATTAAGCATGATGATGACATATTAATATCAGAAGACTGAATTTCATATAGCATCTGTTCTATGTTTAATGGTTTCTTTACTTTTCCATAATGTTTGACAATTTCTCTTTATTATTTTCAATACACCATTTTTGCTTTTCTCTTTCATCTCTTTGCTTTCTCAAGTCAACATTCAGTCAATAAGGTCTCAGTAAGCTCCCTTGAGATTAGACCTGGGAAAGATGAGTCAAAATGACAGCTGTCCTTTGGAAGCTCAGTTCTAATGGAGGGAAATTACATGTACCCAGGACTGTCAAGAAGAGGGACTGCTTTGGACAATGGATTTCAAGGGGTCTGTAGTTAGGAAAAGGTTTTGCACTTGACCAGTTCTGGAAGGTGAACTTGAATTGTCGGGAAAGATTGGGTACACTGAAGAGGACACATGCCTTGTTTTTCCTGATCCTAGGGCTTACACTCAGGGCCTGAGCATTAATTATCCTTAAGCCTCTTTGTGCTCAAGGCTAGCACTCTACCACTTGAGCCACAGCACCGTTTCCTGCTTTTTTTGAATAGATTATTGGCGATAAAAGTCTCATGTGGCTTTCCTGCCTGGCCTGGCTTCGAACCACAACCTTCAGATTTCAGCATCCCGTGTAGCTAGATTATAGGTATGAGCACCCAGGGAGTGCCTGGCTGTACGTCTTCTTTTGACTAATTTTTAATCCTCATTGTGTAAGTTTCCCCGCTCGTGGTGTTTTAAACACATGGGTCTTCCCAGTTTACTCAATCTTTTCCCCTGGAGACTCCAAGAGTCTCGGGATATCAATTAGCACCCACTGGTCTGACTTACCCACTTACTGGCAGTGTTGACCTTTCTGGGGAGCTGGAGCTTTACATTTTAAACTGTTAACTATTAACCCTTGCAAATCCCCTTGTCATCTTGGGTTCTTTGTGAATAAATGTAGACTTTCTTCTCCCACACCTGAATCCACAAAGAAAACTCGATGTCGGTTCTGTTGAACTTTGACTTTGCCTTTCTAAGGAATTACCCTATTTGAGTTCTCCCTTAAACCTACCATATTTCAGCTAATATATTTGTATACACTTGCATAACCCCCAACATATTTACTTATATGTTTATAAGCTAAATCTAGCTTCCAAATATGAAGGAAAACACACAAACGTTTGTTTCTCTGCACCTTAATTCACTTAACATAATTTTTTCCAGGTCTTTTCATTTTGTTACAAATGATACAACAAAATAACAGCAGGGAAATGAGTGTTTGAAAGGACTAGGGTAGGGTCAAGGGGAAAGGGGTACATGAATGTAAAGAAGAGAGAGAGAATGCAGTTAAGAATTCAATGTATATCCTACACAATTAAGAAAAGGGAGAGGAAAGGGTGGATTGAGAGGAATGGATAAGAACGTTGAAAGGGGAGACATTGATCAAGATGTGTTGTATTCATAAATTGCTTCGCTGAATGGCAACTCCTTTGCACAACTGCTTAAAAAATAATAACTGGAAAGAAAAGAAAAGCTTGTCTTATGTTTACAGAATTGATGGCAGAACAATTCTCCCAACTACCCTGGTTTGAACTTTCTCTGCCAGCTGGAATAGTTCTTTGTATATTTCTATTTTAACAGTAGGCTCTCCAAAATACAATTCTTTTATTTCGTTCACTTAATAGAAAATGTTTTAAAAATCATACTTCTCAAATGATTCTTCTTCCC